GGGTCCCTCCGTCCCTCCCGGGGATTACAGGGTCCCTCCGTCCCTGCCGGGGATTACAGGGTCCCTCCGTCCCTGCCGGGGATTACAGGGTCCCTGTGTCCGCGTTGTACCTTGCCTGGGAGGAATGGCAGATGGAATGGGAATGGGAAAACGTGCCTCGAATCCGTGCCCGAATTAAGGTGGACCGGGGAGTTCAGGTGTCTGCTCTCCAAGGCTTGTCACAGAAGGAGCATCCTGACAGAGAGTGACAGAATTATGGAATGTCCCGAGTCGGAAGGGACCCACAGGGATCAGCCAGTCCAACCCCTGGCCCTGCCCAGGGCACCCCAACAATCCCACCCTGTCCCTTAGAGCGTTGTCCAAATGCTCCCTGAGCTTTGGCAGCCTTGGGAAGTGACCATTCCTTGGGAAGTAACCATTCCATGGGAAGCCTGTTCCAGTGCCCAACCACCCTCTGGGGGAAGATCCTTCTTTCCTGAGATCCAACTTAACCCTGCCCTACCACAGCTCCAGCCATTCCCTCAGGTCCTGTCCCTGCTCACAGGGAGCAGAGATGGGAGCAGAGTCATCTCTCTCTGTGTTGAGTTCCTGCAAGGATGTTGCCTCACCTGAAGTATTTTAGTGAAAGAAAATAAGGACCTCACCTCGCTGAGAACCCTGACCCTGTATTTACAGTTCTCTAAAACTGAAAGTCTGGGAATGTGTTGCCTGCTGGACACCCCCGTGCTCTGACAGGGGTAGGTGTGGGCACTGGCAATCTCCAGGCTGGGAGATGGGATTATAATGCCATGACCTTTGTGAGGCAAAAAGGCTGGAGGTGTAAACCAGGGCAGTCTAGGCTGAGATTAATTATGCAATAAAGTTGGACTTCTCCCTTCCTCAGCAATTTTGGACTTCAAGTTCAGTTGGTGGGTTTCTCCTCCTTTTCCCAAGGGAAAACCCTGCACTGCCTCATTTACCCAACTTGCCCTAATGTGTTTTTTTTTAGGAACAGCAACGAGCTTATTCTGCGTTATGTGTTCAGAGATGTCCTTCCTTTCCAGATAAAGCCATGTTCAGAGCTCTCATTCCCTGTGAAGATCTACTTCTGTGTCACTATTTTGTCTCTGCTGAGTGTCATAGGACTCACCATAGAGACACTGGTCCGGCAGACCGAGGAGGATTTCACCATTTCCTTTATCCAGTTGGTTGGAGTTGGTAAGAAACTGTTGGGATTTTGAAACAAATACATTTTTTTCCCCCCAAGGTGTAATTAAGCAGCAACTGAAGTTTCTTATGTGAGAGGTGCTGAATGTTCAGCTGTGCCAGAAAAGCTTCCAGTTCCCATTTTAATGTCTGATCTCAAACAAGAAAATGTGACGGCATCTCTCTGTGCTAAGTTCCTGCAAGGATGTTGCTTCACCTGAAGTATTTTATTAAAATAAGAACCTAATTTTAAAAAAAAAAAAATCTCTTTTTTGTCTAATATTTTTCCCCCACTGGAAGATCCAAACTTCCTTGGATATTTCCAATGAGAGCTTCAACAGAAACTTATTTTCGTGTTCTTGGGTCCATTTGTCTCGAATAGAAATTACCATGAAAATAATAAACTATTTCAGGAAGTGGCTTTAGCAGGTCTTGGCTGCCAAAACAGTGTGAAAAAGGAGAGATTGTGGGTGTAACACAGTCCTTGCCTTCCAGCTCTCACCCAGAGGGAACAAAGACAATAGCTTTGTTCCAGATTCTATAATTAGACAAATCCCAACAATGCTTTAATTCCAAACCTCTGATTTAATGAGCAGCTTTTCACACAGGACTCACAAAGCTGCAATGTTAGAACAGCCTGAAGAACCTTCATATTAAGTCAGTCACAGACCTGGGAAGTTGAAGCCACACTTGCCCATCTGTTTTTCCCCCAAACCATGTTTTCTGTGTGGTAGACAAAGACTGGCAGGACAGGTGTTTCTTTAAAGCAAAATAGATGCCCTGGCTGCAACAATCTCTTGGGTTTACAATTAGATATTTAATTTAAGGGGGGTTGGGGATTTAATCTGTTGATAAATATTCATCCCCAAAACCAAGGGGGTGTCCTGTATTTCAGAAATGTGCATATGCCACCTCTGCAAAAAGCTTGATAATCAGAGCCTGTTTTCAAATTATTCGTGCAAAATTTCTTCTGATTGAGCAGCTGAATTTGCAAAACAAGGAAATGCTGCCTTAAGTCTTTGAGGTCTTCCTGAGGTCAAGAGCATGTCCAAAAAACCCCGTGATTCACTCTGGAATTTGCCAATCATTTTCCACTCTCTCGGTCCCTGTTAAGAGCAGTGGAAAAGGAAGTTCAGTCACTGAGGGTTTGTTTAGACACTCAAGTTACTGTGTTCCTTTGAAGACTTGGACAGCACTTTGTCCCCACGTCCCAGCCTTGCAAAAGTGGGGGGGATTTTACGTGTGGAATCCAGGAAGCAGCGCTCTGGAAAAAGAAACCTATTGTTACTTTGGCTGTGGGAAGAAGGACCCAGTGTTTGCAGGAGCATCCTATAAAAGAACAAAGCCTTTTCCTTATTTAAGCTTTGCCAGAACAGCACAGAGTTCACTGTGACAGGTGACTGGGGGGGGGGGGGTTGATGTGTTTGATAAAAGCAGAACTCAGGCCCTTTGCAGTTATTTTGCAGGGTGGGGTGTTTCGAAATTTCCACAGTAAAAGTAAACTGAATCCAGTCTGTCCAAGTTCAGCTCAACACACAAACCATGTGCAGTGGCCAGACAACACTGCAGAGGGGTGTGGGTGTGTGTGAGTAGTAAACTGCTTGTTAGTCACCTGAATTACTCTCCCTGGGAAGATGATGGCATTTCAGTTCTTTAATAAAAACTGTGCTGCTTCATGTAATTCAAATATCCAATTGGACATGATCAATGTAGTGTTCACAGATTAACACAGCCCAGCTGCCAGTGTGGGTGGCTGATACACTGCCATTTGCAGAGAGTTACTTCACAAGGAATTTAAAAATCCAACTGATTATTTAATTTCTTAGGGAGAGTGTTTTTTAAGCCTCTGATTCAGGCTCCTTGGTGGGAGCAAAGGCGCTCCGGGCCGAGGAGCCTCAGCTCTGTGGTTCTGCTCAGGTTTTTGGCACCCAGGTCCAGCACAGTGGGAAGTTTTGCTGGTGTTCAGTGTATCCTCACCTGGCACTGCCCTTGCCTTGTCCCCCCAGTGTTCTGTGTGTACTATGTGAGCCGGGGGATCCTGCAGGAGAACCGCCAGGAGCTCATCGTCTTCGTGCTCTCCATCCTGCTCGTGATGCTGCGCTCCATCACCAACTTCACTGTCCTCCCCGCTGAGCAAAAGCCAAAGCTCCTGGTCAGTCTCTCCTGCTTTTCATCCATTTTTCCTTTCCCCACCTGTTGGGTGTGAAAACCCGTCCGTAGAAAGGCAGGGTGTCTGTGGTGAGGGCAGACAGAAATGTCAGTTAATCTGAGTTAATTCCTGCTGAACAACAAAGTGTGCACATCCACGGCTGCAGGTCTGCTCCTCTGAGCTGTTCCCTGGGTTTCTTTGTGGCAGAATCTGGAAGTAACATAAATATCAAAGGATTGCACAGGGTTACTGCAGAAAACACCCTTCACTTCACCTGCTCTGCTTCACATCTGGCCTAAAGTCACATAAATTTAACCTGGAATCTCCAGTCCATAGGCAAGGACACAGCTCCATAAACACAGCCTTGTGTTTTTATGGGATTTATGGGAACCTGCTGCAGGGAAACAAAGATACAACAAGCTGGGGGAAGATACTGCCACTGCAGGTTATGTTGTTTGCATTCATAGCAATTAAATGTGATACAAAGACTGTATTCTGTGCCTTACTGAGATCTATAGTCAAACTTCCCCTTGCTGTGCTTCCCAGAAGTCCTTCCTTTTTAATCACATTTTTCTCACAAATGGGAGAAGGAAGTTCCTTGCTGTGAAGTCACCCAAAAATTATTCTTCAATAGGAGAGGAGGCAACCAAACTAGGAAGCTGGAGCAGAGGAGAATTTTCCAATTTAGTTTATCTGTCAATTGTACATATAATTAAACAGGCTTATCTGCAGCAAATTGGGTTGTTTGTTTGGGTCAATAAGGAACAGGCATCAAAAGGGTGCAGGGTACTTTAAGATGTGCAGCCAACTCCTCAGCTTATATATTAAACAAGAACCTCAAAGTAAAGCCTGCTGTGGAAGATGTGAAGAGAACTATTAAGGACTGGCTTTTTTACCAGTCTTAACAGTAACTTGAATTACTCTAACTCCTGCTTCCTGAGCAGCAATCATTTCTAGTGTAAATATTCTCATATCAGTGCAATTGTGAAGGGAGTTTTGCCACTTCATCCCAGGTCACCCCCTGTCCCTGTTTTTGGGCAGTCACAGCCCTGTCTCTGTCCCCCAGGCCCGCTTTGTGCTGATCCTGCTGGTTGGCTCCTTCGATGTGATCTGTGCCATCATCCTCATCCAGAGCCAGAGCATGATGGCATTCCGGGTGGGGGGGGCCCTGGAGAGCCTTCAGTCCCAGTACTTCATGCTCAACCTCTGCTTCTCCATGCTCACTTTTGATCTCCAGGCACAGGTAAACAGCTCTGCCCTCCCCACCTTCCCTTTTTTTTTTTTTCCCCTCTTATTAGTAATAAGTTGGACAAGCTGAGCTAATTATTAACTCCCCAGAGCAATCCTGCCTCTGTCTTACCTTATAATAATGGTCATATCTCCAGGTTTCTATGGGGGAGCTCAGGTAAAATCCATAAAAATGAATCAACACATGTTTTATCACTGTCCTGCACAAAAGGAGAACTGAAACTTACTTTTGGGAAGTTTGTCCATAAAAACAGTAACATCCAGAAGCTCCAACTCACCCACAGCCTCCTAAAACAGGAAAGGTTATTCCTGCACAACATCCCAGCTGTGTCCTATGCCTGGGGAAGTGATCCTGGGGTGGGAGAGGGGAACCTGCCCCACAGGGCAGGGGGGTGAGGGAACAACTGAAATTACTGACATGGGAAGTGAACCCCAAGTTTGTTCACCAGGTCTGCACTTCTATCCACTACCCTTCATTCTTTACCACTGTGTTACCTTATGCTTTATCTGCCTTATCTTTGCTTCATCTTTGTTGGTATCGTGGCACACAGGGGAGTTCCTCTGTCCTGGTTTCCCATTCCATAAGGAAAGATTTTGCCCGACTTTCTGCTGGTGGGGGTTTGTGCCAGGTATTTTTTTCAGTGGCTGCAGGGTCTCAAAGCCATGATTTTTTCCCCATCTCTGCCCCTTCCAGCTCTGCCTGTGTATCCTGCTGATCAGCCTGCACAAGATCACCCTGGTGCACAACATCATCTCTGCCACGGGGGCCCTGTGGGGCTGCCTGAAGGTCACCATCGGCATCATCGCAGTGAGTGTTCAACTGAGACACAGGGAACAACCCCTGAGCCTGCAGGGGCTCACCCTGAGCACTCCCCCAGCCTGGGGAGCCACAGCCACCCCCTTCCACACCCCTCTGCCAAGGGAAGGGGGCCAGGAGGGAGAAAACCAGAGCCCCAACAGCACTTCTAACTCTGTGCCTCACCTGAGGGGTGAAACAGTCACAATGTCATTCTTCCTGTCTGAGGGACACAGTTTTATTCTCAGTCCTTGATCACCTACTTAAGTGAAGCCTGTAGGATGACACTTCCATGTTTGAAACCTCTCTGACAAGGTTGGGTGAAACTGGGAACAGTCCTCCAAACTACTGGGGTTATACAGACACAGAGAGACTTCACAGGCCTCAAATCCTTAGGAAATCACACCAGAAAGGTTGGGTGGTCCTTTATGGGGGCAGCTTCTTCAAAATTCAAGGATAGTGTCCAGGTTAAAATGAGGATTTGTGAACTTGAGATGTCATTTTTCACATCAGTCAGACTGAACCTCCTCTGAAATCATGAGACTGTTCCAAGAGTGATTGCAGAATCGGGGCCAAAGTACATCAGATACCTGAGTCTTTTATGACCAGGAAGGAGTTTAGGGGTTTTTGGGGGGGGGTGTGAATGTTTTTTTTAGGCTCCTTGGCTGTTTGCTTTGACATTCACACGAATTCCTGGCAGTTGAAATACAGCTTTCCAATTGTTTTGGTGGCTTTCCTTGCTAAAAACGGAGGTAGCACCAAGCACTGTGCTTTTAAAACACCTTGGTAACTCAGGTAACACAGAATCACCTTTCTCCTAATCAGAATGATGCCTGTTTTCCTGATGGGATTAAAAATCTAAAAACCTTTCAGCTACTTTCCCCTCACCATCAGCAACAAAGTTCACCTGGGCAGTTGCTGCTCACAGATTACAAGTTCTTTGCTGCTCCTGGAGTTGCCTTCAGGCACTAAAAGAGGCTCTGTCCTTGTAAGAAAAGAAAGAGTTGCTCCAGTTAGGTGGCCTCATGTCTTTACATGACTGGATGGCAGTCCCTTCCCTCTTTCCCAAGTCCCAGGGTGAATTGGGAAACAGAGTTCTCCTGACAGTGAAATCCTCTTGCTTCTCCCACGTTTTACTGGGACATTTCAGTCCTCAGTGCCTGCACTTCTCTGAAGTAGAAACGAAGGTGGGGAAAAAAGGCACAGGGAGCTTTCAGGCTGTTAACATTCCTTTGTTTTAGAGAAAAACCTGAGCCTAGCCAAAGAAAAACCACCCTCACTCCTGGCCCAGCTCAGTGCAAAGCAGAGACTGTATTTCCTGCTTAAAAAAAAATGCCCAGGAGGGCAAAGTTACAGCTGAGAACTCAGCCTGACCAACACTTGAAATGCCACTGAAAAATCAGCTGTTTGTAGCTTTTACAGAGTATATAGCAACGAGTTACAGAGCTGTATGTGTGTCTTGTGTTATTTTACAGATTTTGAAAGAGCTGAAACCCCTGGTGTGGATTTTTCTGATCCAGAATGTCCCTGAAGTAGTGTATCTCATCTACCTGCTGTACACGGTAACGCAGCAAACTCACCTGGCTGGGAACAGCAAGGCTGGAGGGCTCCTCTTCCCTGCTGGATCCTGGGGCCCAAAACATCCTCCTGCTGGATCTAAAGAGCAGCAGGCACATCCTGCCTCTTCAGGATCCATTTTTCAGGACAGGAACCATTTCAGCTTGATCTTGAACTGATTAGACACAGGGAGAGGCTCTGGAAGTCTCTGGCAAAGTGTCCAGAATAATTAGGGAAAAATGCAACACAATCTTCCAGTACAAGACACAGAGCTCCTCAAAAATGCCTCCCTTCCTTCATGAGGCCTCAAGTGGTGCCAGAGCATTTGACCAGGGCCTCAGCTGTTATGTTTTAAAGGATTTCTTAGGCAGCACCCCCAGCTGTTGATCCTGGTGTAGCCAAAACAAGCCCACCCAAGTCCAGTGCTGGGTGTTATTTTGTGATAAAGCCTTTCCAAGTGGGGCTCCAGCACCTCCCACAAGATGTGAAGGGAGCAGGGAGAGAGAAGGGCAAGGGCAGAGCAGACTGTTCACCATGGGAAGGGCTGGAATGCTGACAGTGGCCAGGGTTTCTCCTGCTCCACATCCACAGTCTCCAGACATGGATAAAAGTCCCAGGGCTGCAGCCACCCCGTCCTTGGGGTTCTGTTTGTCACAGTGTGCAGGCAAACCAGGCCCTTCCCATTGCTCCAGGCCTGTTTGATCTGGCACAGCACAGCAGGACACTTTACCCTCCATCATCTAAACAGGAAACTAAATTTAAAAGCGACCAGTTTGGGTTTTTTCTTCCCCCAAATTCCACTTCTTTCAGAAATTCAGTGCTCCATTGCATCTTGTGGCTACCAGGTTTTGGGTGTTGATTGTTTTATGTCTCCCTTTTCCTGCAGGTGATAAGGGAGTGGGGCAAAGGGAATTCCTACACTCTGGAAGCTGCTTTCATTACTGGCTCCTGCATTTCTGTTGCCATTAAATCTGTCCTGTTCTGGGCCCTGCTCCACGTGTACCGCAGCTTTGGGCAGGGGCTGAGAGAGAGAAGTAAGTACCTCAAAAACTTACCTGGGAAGGTTGTGGCCCGTTGTATCACAGTGGAGAGCCAGGAAAACAGGGATGCTCCCAGTAAAAGGCACATCTCTGAGGACCTCAGGCACTTCTGCAGCCTCAGGGTTTACTGGGCTGACCAAGCTCAGAAGCTTGAGCAGAATATGTGTGGTTTCTCCCTGTGGAAAGCTGACACTAGTTAAAGTTGCTGCCAACTTTGCCAGGAATCCTGGTATCCAAAAAAATCAGGCCTGTGTGGAAGAATCTCTCAGATACCTGTGATTTTTCTTCCCATGCTGTATAATAACAAAGAGACACAGGATAAAGGGCCCCAGAGAGCTCCTAATCCTAAACAACCCAGACCTCCTTTGGCAGGAAGGGCACTGCTGAGCATTGCCTTGGTGCTGACTGACCTTCCTCTCTGCCCACAGTGTTTTCTTCCTATGGAAGGATCGACTCCTGAGCCCCCCGTGCTCCCCCTGCAGCTCTCACCGAGTGAAGGCACAGCAGGGGCAGCTCTGACCAAGCACCTGATTCTGAGTGGGAAATTAAGGGGCCACTTCCACAGGGGCTGGGCACAACACCACACATTCCTGGATGGTGCTGGAGAGCCACAGCAGGGCAGCTGGGGATGGCTTGGAGAGCAGAGGAGCAGTCAGTGCTCTCACCCCGGGGAGTTGTGGCAGGACAGAGCATCTCCCACTCCTCGTTTTCCTGCTCTTTGTGACCACGAGAGGTTCACGACATGCACCTGAGTGTTGCTGCTGTAAAAGTGTTTCCCTGGGCCAGCACAGCCCCAGTGACAGAGCAGTGTTGCTGCTGTAAAGGTGTTTCCCTGGGCCAGCACAGCCCCAGTGACAGTTCTTTGCACCCCCCATACCCCAGGTCTGGGTGTCTCTGTCCTGCCATTGTTGCTCAGCTCAGATTTTATGGTGGAAAGGCCAAGCCCTGCTGGTGTTTGGTGACAGCTCTTCCCTGCCTGGGGCTCTTCTTCCTCCTCTGACTTCAGAACATTTCAGTTACTTGTTTTTCAGTCCCAGCTACACCCGAGAGCAGCTCACTCTGATCTCCTGCTCCCCTGCAGTGTCTCTAACCAACGTGCCATCCCACGCCAGGGGGACTGTTACAAGCCTTTAATACTGTAATTTAAAGTTTGCTATTTTATTGACTGCAACCTTTAACTACTGGCTATTTTTAAATAAAGTACAAGCACAGTGTGTGTGTGGCTAATTATTTCACTTACAACAGCACGAATTCAATGGGAAATCTCACAAGCCAAGCAGGGAAGGGGCTGGAATTCACATGTGCTGTGACCATCAGAGTCCTCCTCAGACACATCTTTATCTTGTACACTGCACAAAGCAGTTCAAAAATGGATTGCAGCTGATCAGGGAAATCTGCAAGGATTATATCAAAAACTATTAAAAAACCCCTATACAAAATTTAAAAATAATATAAAACATATATAAAACAAATGCAAATATAAAATTAAATAAATTAAATATGTAAGTATATATTATCATTATTATAAATACAAATATAAAATAAATTCGAAAGCCCTATTAAAAAATTTGTATTTTTCTCATCCCAGTCTCCCAAACCTGAATCAAATCTACTTTCCAGGAGGCCCAAGGGGGGGCATGAAGGGGTTGGATTGTGTGGCCCCAGCTGCCAGAGCAGCAGCTGATGGCTGTGACTTCACTGCACAAGTCAGGGGGACTGTGAATTGTTGCTGAAATGGAGAAACACAGTCAAGCACATTCAGGCCTTTTGTGCAGCAGGGCCTGCCCAGAGCAGGACCAGCAGGGGAAGGCTCTGACCTTGCAGAAAGCCTGGACTTGGCCAAAATTAGGTGAAGAAAGTGTGTTTTATGCAATAAATAGAGTAATAAATAGTTTTATGTCATACTGAGTGTCAGTGTCCCAGCAATGGGGGTTACTGCTCTGGCCAGGGACAGCAGGAGTTTGTCACCAGCCAGACAGGAGAAGATGGAAAATCCTTCCTAAGGTGTTTGTAAAACAAATGAACTCCAAAGCAGCTCCATCACCTGCCCAAGGTGTCTCCTCACACTTGTCCAGGAGCTGCTGGAAGGGGTGACACGTTAATGAGGAAACCAAAGGACTCTCAAACACAATTAGTGACAAGTTCCAGGGAGGAAGGGTCTGGACTTGGTCAGAATGTGCAAAGCCAAGGACACAACAGGCAATTAAATTGCATTTTCAATCTTTATCTTGCTATCCAAATTATCAGAGGTTATTTGACATCACTGCCCTTGTATTTCTATCCCTGGGCCTTGAAAAACACAGTTAATGTAGCCCAGCTACTCATACACAAGATCTGTTTCATCTTGCACAGCAAATCCAGCATTTCTTTTGAAACTCTTGAGCCCAGACTGTTATCAGACAGGTACCCTCAGAAAAGCCCTGGGTGGTTTTTAGTAAAACAGATGCCCCTGTTCCATGAGACAACGTGTCAAAGCCCACCCTGGACATTTGCTCTCCAAACAACTAACTGTGTGTGTTATTAATCTGATATTCTCCCCCAGTCAAAGTGCTGCTCGACAAATGCAACTTTACAAAAAGATTTTATTGAAAGGATTGAAAAATATTCGTTTTCAACAATATTCAAAACGAGTTCTCAATGCGTTAACAATATGTAACAGGATTTTTCAGCTTTTAAAAATTCAGTACACTGCTTTATTCCGTGCTACACAGTTGTTAATGACTTCAATTTCTACTAGAGGATAATAACTTTTTTTAAAAAAAAAACCCAAATTCATTTCCCAGCTTCCATTTTGGCCCTTTGTAGACTGGAAAGGATCTGCAGGGTACAGGGACACCCACAGACCCCTTGTTTTAGAAACTCCTAATCAGCAAAACCCTATTTATTTTTTTTTTTAGTACAGTTTCAACGAGTTAATTCCAATGAGCTACATCAGCAGAACGAGGTTTTATTGCCAACAAACCGAGTGTGCATTTACAGCTTTTTTTTTTTTTTTTTTTCTTTTTTCTGGTTCAGCTCTGAGCAAAAAATTCACCCACGTGACAGCAGCTGGGCATGAAAACCCCAGTTGCTGCTCGGCCTCACTCTCCTGCTTGGGAATTACGGTTTGGGAACTACAGCTCGTGGATTAAAAGCCTTGCCCAGGGACTTTGTACACTCAGATAAGTCTGAGAGGCCTGAGCACAGCCTGGGCTGTGCTTGGACACAGAGCAGTTGGGAGAACTGGGATCAAGGCAGCTCTTGGAAGGAAAAATCAAGCCCCAAGCCAGCCCTGCCTCGGGTGGGTGATGCAGCTCTGCCTTGGCTGAGCAGACACCCAAAAACCTCCTCAGCAGGGAGTGCTCCCCAAGCAAAACTGCAGCAGCCTCAGAGCCAGCAGTGCAGCTGCAGTGGGTGATAAACTGAAAGAATAAATTCAAAAGCCAACCCCTAACGTAGATCTAAAGTAGTTCAGTACACTTTGATTACAGATTCCATGACCTGTGCACTCTGAAAATCAAAAGTCCGGCCACTTAGTCAAGAATAGCTTTACTATTATAAAAAGCATAAATAAAAAGTGCTGAATATAGTTTTATCTTTAAAAAAATACTAGATAAGGCTCATAAATCATTTCACCTTGCCTCTGCAAAATGATTCCCACTTCCTAGTGTGCCTAGAACTCCACTCCTTTTCCACCTCACCAGCCATTTCCCCATACCCTGTTCCTTCTCTCAATTATTGCATGTTTAAATAAAATAGTTTCAAAGCAAAAAAGCCTGACACTTCTACAGTTCAAAAAGTAAACAGTTATCAAATAACTGGATACTCCACCCAGCAAACCCGTAAGCAGCTTCAAAAACAGTGATAAAGCAATTACTGCAGATTCAAGTGAAAGAGAAATCCCAAAAGCTTACCTGGGTCTTCTCCCAGGTACCACAAAATCCGTCTGTTTAGACCAAATCAGACCAATATTCTATTTTACAGCATTTACAAACCGAGTGTTCGTTTCTACCAACACACTTTCACTGTGATTTGAATCGTTAACCAAGAGCTTGCTTCTCTTTTATGGCAAAGTGCTCTCACCTGGATTGAATGAACTCAGACTAGGGCAGCACCCAGAATGGATGAGACATTATTTAGACCATCAGAGGACAAGAGGCCAGGCAGGGTCTGGGAATGAACACCCTTCCCATCTCCACTTTGGACCACAGAAACAACGTAAGACGATCAGGGAAAGTTCACCAGAGCTCCTCGCTCTGTTTCCAAGGAAATCCCACCTCAACCAGGAAACCAATTCCACTGCAAGACTCAAACTGCAACAGCTCCTGCCCACTCCTTCCCCAGCCGAGGCAGCAAGACTGAAAAATGCTAAAGTTTGGGTAATTAATGATCATGAGACTGCACCACAGAGAACATAAATGTAAACATTATCCTGGGGTTTGCTGGTTCTCAGGTAAAGTACAGGGCAAACCCTTTTTTATTTTTTTTCCCCCCCAACCAGTTCTTCCGTTGGGTTTTTTTTTGTTTTTTGTTCTTTCAGAAAAAAGCACAGACGATAAAATATGTACAGAGAGAAGTTAGAAACCTCTGAAAGCATCTTAGAAAAGGAAAAACACGAGACTCAGGATAATCTTGAGCGCTGAAGGCACCGTTGCTACTCCACTGGGAATGTGTCCTCTCCAATTCTCCAGCCACCAGAGCAGTATCCCCCTCCTGTTTCACTCAGCACCAAGAGCTGGAAGGGATATCCATGGAAGTCGAGGGCATTACAGGATATTTTCCTCAAGACAATAGTGGAACTAGACAATGTTGTGGCAATTGAAGTCCAGATTCTTCCTGAACACTTGGAGGACTTTTTTTTGTTTTGTTTTTTTTTAAAAACATGGTGGTCTCTAATGCTATTCCAGGGAATCAAACAAAAAGAATTAGAGAAACACAACACGTGGATGATTCCCAGCAGCAGGAACTGCAGAGCTCTAAAAGCAGCTCAGCTACAAAACCAGAGATAGCTGCAATAACTAATAATATTTGTGGGTATTTCCACAGTGCTGACAGCCAAGGGTCAGCCACTGTTCAAATGGGCACAAGAGACAGAAATGTATACAGAAAAAATAGATACTTTTTTGTGCTAGTTCCATCTGTCAATAAAAAACATCCTCCAGGGGTGTTTCTTCAGCGTGTCACATCTCAGAGTAAGAGTATTTTCTGGGCCAGATGTATTTAAGCTAACAAAGAGGAGAGATTATCTTTTTTTTTTTTTTTTTTTTTTTTAAAGAAAACTTCTTAGAGCCTTTATATTTGTAGCAGTCTTCAACGGAATTACAAATATACTGAATAAACCAGGCTGTTTTAATGCCACTCTCCTGGGGTGTATCTACATTCATGCCCTTGGTAAGGGAGAGGTTACAATCAAAGCTGCAGATGTGGCTGTCGCTCTCAATCAGAAAGAATCCAGCTTCCAGAAGGAAATTCACCCTGGACTACAACAACCAGAGCCCAATTTCTTCCATCCCTACCCTTGGTTGCACAGGGAGCAGTAACACAATTCCCAGCCAGGGGATCTCACAGATATAAAACCACAACCACAGTGCAGGTCCACGCTGGCAGCCAAAGGCTCCAAAATCCAAGCAGACAGAGGGGATATACTGCCACACTCCATTCCCACGGGTCTGGGGGGATGCAGACACTCAAAATTCTTCTTCCTCCACAGCAAAGTTGTTTTGCTTCTTCCTCACGTTCCAGTGCAGACACTCGGCCAGGCTCTCGAACCAGTCGCTCACGGGGTCTCGGAAGCAGATGGAAGGAAGGGGGTAGCAAGAGGTAGTGATGCTAATACTGCAATAACAACACAGGACAGCCATCAGGCAGGGCAGCAAACAGCACTCTGGGCAAAACCAGAGCTACTCCTGAGCTAACACAGCCCCACAGCCACCAGCCTGGGAGAACAAGAGCTCCCCCAGCCCAGCTGTGACCAGGACTAGGGCTCGGCTCAGCACAGCAAAGCCAGGGCTGGGAATGGCTCCCAGCTGCACTGTGGGCACCTTCTGGCACTGTGAGAACACTGAACACAGCCCAGGATGCCCTGCAGCCCCTCTGCTGCTCTTCACATCAACCCCACAGTGACACAGGAACACCCAAGTGGCCACCTTGGCCTTTAAGTTTCAAGTTTTAACTATAAGCAACAGCACTGAGAGTCCAGAAACTAAAACAGGGCCAAACCTCATGTTTGAAACCT